CTGGCCTGGCTGACCCAACACTGCACACACACTCGTTGTCCCCATCTCACACCCTTCCCTGGCCGCTGCCCAGACGCACACGAGGGTGGCTCACTAGCCAAGGGGGTGGCAAGATTCTTGGGGGTGGGGGAAGGGGGCAGCATGCGGAGCCCATAGCTGCTGGAGGCAGGTCGCCAGTCTTTTGCACGCGAACACAAGGTGCCAAGAGGCGCGCCAACCCCCACACGGCTGGCAGGGCTCATCAGCACCTTGGTGGCACGTTGATTGACAGAGTGCCAGCCGGGTGGGAAATTAGTAGGCGCACTAAAAGGTGTAATTACTCGATGCCATCACTACTCGGCTGCCGTCAATCTTCCCGCAAGCAGGGACCACGATGACAGGGTCGCCTTAATAATAAAAAGTGATGGGCGGGCCGGCCACTGAGAGGGCCAGGCGCCTGCAGGCTGGGGACACCTCAGCAGGTGCTTCTGACCTGGCCACCATTGATGGTCCTCGGAAGCCAGCCACCTGCACTCCTGTGGTCTGCAGCCCTTGGCTCCCACCAGGAGCCTCCTGCCCCGGGCAGGACATGGCGCTTAGTGAAGTGGACAGGCAGTGAGAGAGGAAGACCCTCGATGTGACAGGCGGCACCATGTGTGACCGTGAACTCAACAACCTCCACAGCAACACAGCCGCGTGCTCAGCCGTGCAGGAGCGCCAGCGAGGGCTGACCCCCGTCAGCCTCACACTTTGCAAGAAAGGCTGAGCCCCTTATCCAGGATCTGGGGTGAGCCTGACCGTCGGTCCACTCTGTGCACTGCCGGTCGGGCAACGTCAGAGAGACCCTCGCTGTCCCGAGGGAGGGGACAGAGAGGAAGGAGTGAGTGGGCTCAGGTGATGGGCTGCCCATTCTAATCAGTGAATTTAACCAGCATTCAAGGTCTGTAGACAACAGTTAGTGACCACGTGGTTGTCCGTCCCACTCCATTGGAGGACCGGCCATCTGCTCCCATGAAGATGCGCCTTCTGCCATTGAGCAGATTCCCACTCCTTGCAACCCTGAGTGACAAGGTGGAGCTGACCCAGAGGGCTTCCCAGGCCAGGATGGCGAGACTTGGCCTCCCGTGTTCCAGACGTGTTGTCAGGAGAGACCAGTCCCTGAGAAGACATCATGCGTCCGCAGTGGAGGGACAGCAGAAGAGGAAGGGCTTCAGTGAGGTGCATTGAGATGGTGTCCACAGCAGCGGGCTCAGATATGAGACCAGTCGTGAGGATGGTGTGGTGTCCTGCCCGTGTCGGAGCAGGCGCGAGGCTCCCAACAACAGCAACCCTGAAATCCCAGGGGGGCAGTTCCACCCTGTCGTTTAGGGTCACCAGCAGTCAGAGTGGACCAGAAGGCTCACAGCAGCACGTGACTGTCATTTGCTTTTCTGAGTAGTAACAGAAGTTGCTTGGGGCAGGGGGGGGCGGGGTGTAACTGGAAAATAGAGACTGAGACGTGAAAAGCTCTTAAGAAATTCTAATAGGCTCACAGAGGTCCCGGAACAAAGCCACAAACGGATAGATACTTCTTCGAGAATCAAAGGCTGCAACACTGCTACACCCCGAAGGGCCCACAGAGTGTGCAAACTTGACTGCAACCCAGAGCGTGGAAGGGACCCCTGGTGGCGTGTTGACCAAAGCGCCTGGCCAGCACCGCAGGGTCTGCTGGGTAAAAGAGCGGCATCCGCCCCCATGGACACCGGCAGCCTTGGCCACTCCGTGGGGCTATTCGACCCTGGCTGCTCAGGTCGCTGTGGGTTGGCTTTTTAAAAGTATCGTCCCAGAGGAATTTTGTTTCTCTTTAGAAATTGGCCCGCTGGTGCTGAGGTCTTTATAGGAGCTCTGACTCAAGTCCGCATGGCAGGACCCACTACACTCTATAAGACCTCGGGTGACTAACGGAGGTGGAGTGGTGCCAGGATCACCCCACACTGGAATCACAGCAGGCCGCCGCCACGCTGCTGCGCTGACTCAGCAGAGCACGAAGACATTCCCGTGCCGGTCGTCCATCTCAGGAACTGTGAGCCCCTCTCCACCATGCCTCCTCCGTGGACCAGAGTGAGTAGATCATCGCAGGTTAAGCGAGAACGCAGGAAGAGTCACGCGGCCACAGAAGGACCGGAAGACATCAAATCCCACGCCACAGAAGAAAGGCCTGGCAGTCTGCTCTGAGGCATCAGCCCCGAGGCCTGCGGGCACGTCTCCTCTGGCACGTGTGTGGGCGCCAGGAGTCGGAGGCAGCAAGGGTCCTAACAGCAGCACAGTGGGCCACACGAAGCTCGGCCACACTGCTGTCATTAGGCTCCACCCAAGGAGCGGAGGGACCAGGCAGGGTCTGGGGGAGCCAGGCCAAGCCCTGCGTGGGTGTCTTGGCCACAGTGCCCGCCAACTGTGTGGCATGGGCCTGAGCAACATGACACAGTCTTGGCACCCCAGGCCTGGCATCCAAAGGCAGTGAGACCCCAGACTCAGTAGAGGCCTCCTGGGGAGAGGAAGGGAGAAGGCGAGTCAAGGGGCAAGCCCGGAACCCCCACACCCTCTGACACACCAGCCCGGAGGTCCCCTCGCTGTTGCCTGTGTCCGTTCCTTTGTGTCCAGCTTGGGTGCCTGTTCTCCTACTTGGGACCCAGAAGCCCCTTCCTGGGGAAGAAGCTTGCCCACCCCCCACTTCTCTGGGTGGCTCCGCAACAACTTTCATCGGGCTCACCAGAATTATTCTCAAAGCCGTTGCCATGCCAACGGACTCCCCGCTCAGCACCTCCTCTGAGAAGCTGGGCCCGTGGGAAGTGTCAGCTTCTCGTGGGCGGGTAGCCCTGAAAGGCTCCTGAGCTGGGTGGGGCCGCTGTGATGTGGGGGAGGGGTGACAAGCTGAGTAACCAGGAGGGAGGGAGCAGAGAGACTCCCGCGTGCCTACAGGGTCGGACAAACAGACAAGTAACCCAGTCCATGTTGCTGTCCCTGTCTGCACAGTAAGCAACAAGCCACCCAGGCCACATCACTGTCCCCATCCACAGCCCACCCAGACCACGCAATTGTCCCTGTCCACGTAGTGAGCAGCAGGCTGCCCTGTTTATGCTGTGGTCCCTGTCCCCAACCTGCCCTCTGCCTGGGTATCCCGCACCCCCACCCCCCCAGAGCCGGGGTCTGCCCTGCTTCACTGCACTGGGCGGGCAGGACCAAAGACAGGCCACCCCCTTCTGCGGCTGAATCCCTTCCAAAGCGCAGGACTCCCAGGGTCAGACGCGGCCCCTCAGGCACCGTGGGAAGGTTTGGATGATAATGTCCACTGTCTGACCTCTGGCCTTTCAGCTGCAGCCTCCCTTGAGGCAGGACGCCCTAGCCACCCAAAAAGGCTCCTTGTCCTCCCCGCCGATCGCCCCAGGGCCCTACAGAATCCCACTGCCCGCTTCCCCAGCCACCCTTCAAAGCCAGTCAGTGCAGCCTTCAAAGGGGCTGGGACCTGGGAGGGGCCCAGGGGCATAGGGGCGGGTAGATAATAAAGCCATATACAGAAAGAGGCACTGAGCGCCCTTCAGTGCACGCTGCACAGACGCAGCTGCGGGTACCGTGCACATCATGTGGCACACAACAGTGGGCACCCCCTCGGGAACACGGCGAGTCCTGGAGTTGCTCACTGGGAGGTGGCAGAAGCTTCTAGAAGGCAGAGCAGGGGGGCCAGGGAGGCTCAGCACACATAGGGCCCATCTGCACTGGAAAGGTACATACCCCCAGTGGTCTGGTGTGGCCCCACGGGTTTCCTGGCCACAGTCTGAACGGAAGCTAATCGCCAGCCCTTGATGCCAGCGGCCCGTTTGGGTCAGAACCCCAGCCTGGCTGAGTGAGGAGTTTACAGAGCGCACCCTGTGACACGTGAGCGTCAGGAGAGAAGCCCTGTTCCCTCCACCCCACCCCAGCGGGGGCGGCAGCCCGGAAGTTCCTTCACAGACCCCGGAACGTTCTGGCACCTCTGTGAGGGCACATCCTGACCACAGGAGAGCCGGCCCGACATCTGCAGGCCACTTGGCTCCGCTTGGGCCCGCCGCCCCATCTCAGTAGAATTCATTTTGGGCTGAAAGGGGCCTTTGTTCCTCCGACACTTGCTCTGGGAGAGAGAAGACGCGTGGAAATCTGACATCTGCATTGTGGATGGGAGGAATCTAATTACCCTGCGCTCCCGAAAGAACGTTTCAGGTTTTTAAGTGTCTCTTATCGGCTTAGGATTTGAATGACATTTTAATTATTTTGTGGGGTTTCTCCTCTGCCTCGTTTGAATCTCCGAAGAGCATGGCTCCTGTTCTGAGAAGGGACCGGGACAGCACCGGGTGGGAGCGCAGTCATGCCCTCCCGCCCTCCGTCAGCAGCCTGCCATGCTGCCCACCCGCATGGTCGATGCCGCCAGGTGGGAGGGGGAAGACTCGGCCATCAGGGAAGCACTGGCATTCCAGACGCCGTCATCTCAGTGCAGAACGTGAACGTGGAAGCAGTAGTTCAGACAGGGAACAGCGATGCGTGTGCATGCGCGCGCATTGCTCCGTCTGGGCCTTTTATTGTGAAATAGCTGCAGTGGGACAGAGGCCATCACACAATACTATGACACTGACCACCCTCCTCATGGATGGATGTCCACTCCTACCCTGGTAGGGTCATCGAATCGCCCCTGCACCACCGAACAAAACTCCGCCCACCACGCCCAGCCTGCCACCTTCCTGCGTGTGAGCCCATTGTTGCAGCCACTCTGCCAGTGCATCTGCCGGAAAGTCTTCCTCCTCCTCGTCCCCTTCTACTTGACCAAGCACAAGGCGCCCCGGGAGCTGCTCTCTCCTGACCACGTCTCTCCCTAGTTTCTCCTCCAAGGGGCACTCGGCCACACTTCTTCCAAGACATGCCGGTTTGTGTTTCTGTCCTCACCATGATCCAAAGCCACCAAGTCTTCCGTGGTCTTCCTTGTTCGCTGTCCACCCATGGTGACCACTGCCCACCTCTGCTTCTCTAGCTGTGTGAGTGAGCCAAACCAGCTCCTGTCCTCTGACCAACATTGATCACCCAGCCCTGGAGCTGACACTTCACAATGCCCTGCTGTCAGGGCCATCACACTGTTCTGTTCGCCTGCCCAGCCGGGTCAGAAAGGTGTGTGAAGGTGCCTGCTGGCAGCACTGTGAGTCTTGGCGGGCAGCTCGAGCTGGTCATTTGGGGACCTAAGCACCAGTCTCCGGTGGCTGGGCTCCCCAGCTTGAGAAGCAGTTTGTTCCCTGGGTCTGAGAGGAGCACGATTCCAGGCACTTGGAGCGTGTCTCTGGGTGTCCCCTGCTCTTGATGTCTTGGGGGGCAGAGTGGGTGGTTTCCATGATCAGAGGCTGAGCCTGCAAACCAGGGGGTCAGGGCTCCAGTCCCCCTGAGGCTCTGAAATGAATGTTCCTTGGTCCCCCTCCCAGTGTCCAGGGCTGCTGGTGGTCCTTGTGCCCCTTCGCTGCTGGTAGAGGCAGCTTTACTTGGGGTCCAGCTGATGACCTTTTAGAGGGGCCAGTTCGAGCTGGTTGCTGTGAGGCAGAGACTAAAGATGTCCCCAAATGTCCAGATTCTCCACACTGCTACCCCGCACCATCACCTCCATCTGCTTCTCTTCCTCCCCCTCCCCGGCCTCCTCCCAGTGCTCCCCCCTCCTCCCTTTGGGTTCCGCAGTGTGAGGCAGTGTCTCACAGAACTGGGGACTCCCAAGGGAAGGGCTCCTTCAGCTGTGGAGCTGGCCAGCCCCAAACCCCCGGCCAGGCACCAGGCAGGAGGCTTCTCCTGAATCACATGGTGGTGGGCTGGTGAACACAGACGGCCGATGAGGGGACAGGCTCCTAGCAGGCTCAAGAACTGGAGGTCAGATGAGGACAAAGCAGAGGAAGGAGAGAGCGTTTACCAGAGAATCTCATCTATGTGTGGACCTCAGAAAGTTCATGGAGAAATTGGATTAAAAGACAATGGAATTTTTTCCATGAGTTTTTGGAAGCCCTCTTGTAGGTTGGATGCAGACCACACCCCCATGGACACGCCTCTGACTTGAACTAGACTGGGCAAGGGAGTGACGTGGACACGGGTGGTGAGTGGGGTGGGATGCTGACGAGCCACACCCTCTTGAAAGCCATGACTCAAGGTACATCCCATCCTAACCCTCCCTCATTAAAATGACAGACCGCTCACTCCAATGGACCCGTGACCACAGGCAGAGGCCTGTGCCTCCCCCAAACGGAGGATAAGTCCATCAGATCACCAAATGGAAGGTGTTTATCGTTACATTATAAGCCAGATCACGTCATTATAGAACTGCCAGACCACTGGAAATCATGGCCCAGCTAATGACGCATCATCTTAATGCCACAGGTCCGCATCAGCAAACTGCCTGATCCCCTGTGTGGGCCGCTAGCCCCTAATTTGCATAGTCCCCTCTAGTCTGTGAGAAATTACTCAGTGGTCTGTAGAGAGTAACACACACATATCTGCCCCCTAGGCGTGTGAGACGCCCCCTTAGGATCAGAGCCCACTGTACACCAGTGTGACCTCATTCAGCTGACTGATCACAAAAGACCGTTTTCAGTCAGTTCCTTCCAAGTGCTGCTCACAGGCCAGCGGTTTCTTTCTCATGGGGGGCGGGGAGGGGCGGGGAGGGGAGCTGCCTGTGACATGACTTGGTGACTGAGATTGCCCCTCCCCACAGGGACTAATCAAGGTCCGGGGTGACCAGTGCTGGCGAGACCTGACCTGCATGGACTACCACTATGAGGTGGGTGATGGCCCGGGACCTCTCACTGTTCCCTGGAACACCCAGGTTTAGGGGTGTGCCCTGGCACAGCACCTTCCCTCGTCTGCAAGCGGCTGGCACCTAGACCCCTGCCAGGGTGGAAGGCTCAGCCTTCACTCCTCTGGGACATAATGAGGTGGGGAGGACCCTCGGGCTCTTGTCTGCAGCCAAAGCCCCAGTGGTAAATCATACAGCGCACAGAGCCCCTCTGGGAGTCACACCAGGGTGAGGGTGGCTGTGAGGCTCCTGGTGCCACCAGGAAAGGGGCGTGGCTTCTCTGGGGACCCTGGTTGAGCTGGGTGTGGTGCTGACCTCTAACCTTGCTTACCCGTCCACTGGAGAGGAGGTCAGTTGCAGCAAGCAGTTTGCGCTACAGCTTGGTGGTGAAGCTGTCACCTGGACACGTGCAGCAGCGGGGCCTGCCTGTCCCTGTGTGAGCCAAGCGGACCTGGCCCGGAGCGTGAATCGCTCCCAGTGCCCATGCCATGGGGGCTACAGCTGAGGGTATGAGCCCAGCCGTGAGGACCGGGCACCAGGATCCCTGGGGCTGTGTGCGTCACGTGTGTACACTCGAGACAAGGCCGCCCTGCTCTGCCCTCTGCATTCATTCCCACAGGCCTGCAGGCCCACGTGCCCCCGCGGTCTCCCCCATCCAGGACCAGAGCAATAACCAAGGCAAGAGTGTAAGGGACTTTTAGCCTCTCTCTCTCTCTCTCTCTCTTTCTCTCTCTCTGTCTCCATCTGTCTCTCTCTCACATATATATTCTTTCTCTGCCTGTCTCTCCTTGTCTCTCTCTCTCTCTGACTGTCTCTCTCCCCATCTGTCTCTATCTCTCTCTGTATCTCTCACACACATATTCTTTCTCTGTCTGCCTCTCACACACTCCCTCTCTGACTCTGTCTGTCTGTCTGTCTCCCTCCCCTTCTGGATCAGGAGGTCTTGCTTCCTTCATGGGCTCATTTGTCCCTAAAACATGTTGGCAAAGCACCCCCTGCTCATAGCAGGTCCCACTGTCCATCAGCCATCTGCTGGGGTGCTAGAAGCTGGGGTGCTTAGACCGAAAACTAGGAAGAAAGACCTGGCTGTCTGCGTCCAGAACATCAACTACGGAGAAGCAGGGTGGGTGGGGGCTCGTCTGTGCTCTGACTCAGGCAGGGCTGCCTTGAGTGGGCACTGACTACAGCACAGCTAGTCTGGATGTAGCCACCGAGGGGATTCAGCCCACGGCGACCCTCTAGGGCAGTAGCACTGCCCCTTGGGCTCAGAGGCTGTGACCTGTACAGAGACAGAGGGCCTCCTCTTTCTCCCTCCAAGTGCCTGGTAGGTTTGAACAGTCGTCCTTGCAGTGGACGGGCAGTGCTCTGGACGTGGGGTTGCGGCACCAGGCACCAACCCTGGTCAGTCCCTCACTGCACACAGCTGCATGTGTCCAGCCACCTGCCTCTGACCCACAAGAGTCCGCAGGGGCAGAGGGGGGAGGGGGAGGGCGGGCGGTCCTCCGGAGAGACAGCCACGCCCACTTCCTTCTTGCGTCCAGCATGCTCCCTCCACGGGGAGGGGTCTCTGTGGTGTCCCGGCAGTATATGCCACTGTTCATTCGGACCTGGAGGTACCTGCACCTGGCTGTCCTGCACGACTGGCAGAGGGCCATGGGCACCACGGGCACACCGCTGCTCTGGCTTTCCTGGAAAGCCTGCGGTCATTTTATAGACATGTGAGCAGCCGGGACCAAGGCGGCGGCCTGTCTGCAGACAGTTTTACTGCCTTTATTTAAAGCACACATTTTTACGTTTTTTGGGTGCGTGCGAGGGGCCTGGGGTGCAGGGCAGGTCTGGAGAATGTCACCCTCAGAGGGCGCAGCCTCCGTGAGGATGGAGTGCTGCCCGTCCCAGGCCCCCGATCCCCACTCATCGGTACATGAGAGTCAGTCCATTGCTGCAGCCCCAGTATTGGCCCTCTCACTGAGGGGTCCCCTCATTTCCACTAGCCTCCGACTTTGTGGGCCCCCCCATACACCCCCTTTGTGGCGCTCAGCAGCCAAAGCCGCGTCTTGTATAAATGGAGGCTGGTGCCCCGGCACACCAGCTTAGCGTCCCACTCGCCACCCTCGCTGTGGCGTCCCACATGGCAGGCCTGCCTGCAGCCCAGGTCACCCAGTGTCTGTTTGCGTGGGGCCAGGAGCAGCGGGAGCCTTGTCAGGGACCCAATCCCGCAGTGACTCTAAGGTTGGCCTCTCCTGGTGGCATGTCCAAAGTCAGGGAGCCCACGCCTGGCCTTCCCTGCTCCTGTCCACCCAGACCCCCGCCCCTGCACACCGCTGTTCCTTCTGAGGCCGGTGGCTTGTTCTCTTGGCAGTCCTCAGAGCATTCAGTATTCTCTGTCCACAGCGGCTGCCGGCCCAGGGAGGGGCCACATCTGCCAGCTTTTTATGGACTGCCCATTCTGCCAGCACGGCCGGCTGGCACTCATGGGAAGGCCCGGCGCCCCGGTGACAGGCTAGTGAGGATGTGCAGAGGGGAGGGAGGGAGGAGCGCAGCGTCCTAGGTCTTTGTCCACTGCGTTTTGACTCGGAGCCAGTGCTTATGCCACAGTGCCACCAGGGCAGGTGGTTGGAATCCATTTCTGGTCTCCGCTGTGCTGATAGGGAAGGGACAGGGAGGGCAGGCGACTGGCAGGCCGTCATCTACCCCCACACCCTTGGCTCCCTGCTTAGGGAACGGCCCTGGTGGCATAGCGATAACATGTTGGGTTGCTAACCACAAGGTTTGCAGTTCAAGACCACCAGCTGCTGCGCAGGAGAAAGACGAGACTTTTTACTCAAATGAAGAGTTACAGTCTCAGAAACCCACAGGGCACTCTGCCTTGCCCCAGAGGGTCGCTGTTGAGTAGGAAGTGACCCCATGGGGGTGGGTTTGGGTTGCTGTCAAGAGAAGCAAATTGCATGTTGCCCCCCAGGGGTCAGGTTGGCCAGATTCCATCCCCCAGCCCCTCCCTGGAGCATCTTCACTCACCCCTGAGGAGCTACCTGGGTGCAGATACTGCCACGCACCTGCCCCAGCAAGCTTTAAGTGTAGGAGGCTGCCTGCCTTGACCCCTGGCCAGTCAGGGTTCATGCAAACAAAACAAAACCCAGTCCCTGGCTTGTGGGGGAGGGTGGAGGTGGGGTGGGATGGGGGAGGCCTGAGGCTCCATGCACAGAGCAGCCCCCTCTCCACACTCATGCTCATAAACCCAGAGCAGCGCCAGACACCAGTTCATCCGAAAGACCCCCGGCCAGAGACAGAGCTCCTGAAATAGAACCTTCCGGAACCTCACACATCTTAGGAGACGACCAGTGCTGTAACCCAGGAGAGCTGCCAAGTCATCCCCACCTCAGGGCAGAGCTGAGCCCCCTGGGCGAGTCTGTGGCTGCTTGTCCCACAGTGGAGAGCCAGGCCCTTCTTCCGAGAGCCTTGGGGAGCAGCTGGGCGTTGACCGTGCAGAGCCCAAATCAGAACATCGGTGTCTAGGGCGAGGTGACCGACATCCATCCAGGGTCTGGCCCCAGGGATACACCTCCCCCATCCCAGCATGACTCTGAGCCTGTAGCCTAGGGTGTGCCTGAGCCTCTGCACCACTCTATAACGTGCCTAGGGGGCGGGACCACCCTGTCCCCGAGCATGTGGTTGAAATAAAGAGAGTGAGACTCAGCTGCTCACTAGGCGTGAGCGCCCTGCCTTCTGGCCACAGGTCAGCGTGGTGACGAGTCTGGGAGCGGACCATTGAGGGGCAGCTGCTGCCTGGGCCCTGGGCCGGTTAAACCAACAGTGCTCCAGGGGCCAGCCCCTGCCATTCCCACCACGTCCTCCCCCAACCAGTGTCAGCCAGGGCTGGTCCCCGCCACTGCTGGCTCTGAGTGACTGCTTACTCTCCTTTTATGGGGCAAGTGTTGGGGTCGCCCACGGTCTATCCCGAAAGAGTAGTGTTGCACGCAGTCTCACCCCCCCACCCCCACCCTAGGTCTCAGGATGTAGTGATAGAAATGCCAGGCCTGGAGGACACACCTGGCAGTCACCCTGGGAGGCGCTGGCATCACCTGTGGCACCTGATCCCCTTGGGGTTGTCCCTGGCCAGCCCATCAGGCCAGATCACCTGGGCAGGTGTCCTGCATCCCTGCCCCTCTGCCCCTTCTCATGTGTCCCTGCACGGAGGCGTCTCCTCAGTGCCCTTCCCACCTGAGTCCTGCTCAGGGTCACCATGTGTCACCCTGTCACCAGCTCACAGTCATGGCAGGAAGCCCTCCAATGGCTTTCCCAGAGAATCTGGGGTCACACGTGTCAGCCCCCAACTACCCCCACAGCCCTTGAGCCCACAGGAAGCCGGTACGGGTCTGACAACATGGTCATGGGCCAGGTCAGCTCCTCAGGGAGCCCGAGGCTGAGCACTCAGCAGGCCTCCAGGGCCTGGGGCTGCATGGGTCTGGAACCCAAAACCCTGAGGGCCACTCGTGCCCACACCCTCGTCAGCCCACATCTGCCCACTCCATGGCTTCCCCCAGGTGTGGTCACCGAGCACGACACCCCCACCCCCTGTGTGGGCCTGGACTTGGAAGCAGACCCTCTCACAGCCCCTCTCCCACAGACCCAGCCCGTGCCCAACCCCATGGCCTACTATCTGCACCGCTCACCCTGGTGGGTGCACCGCGTGGAGACTTTCGGCAACCACGTCATCGAGCTCCTGGTGCCCTTCTTCCTGGTCCTGGGGCGGCGCCTCTGCCTGCTCCATGGCCTGCTGCAGGGCCTCTTCCAGGTCAGTGCGCCCCGAGCCACGCTGGGTCCCCATGTCTGAGGCCATGACTGATACCTCGTCCTGTGTTTGATGCCATGTCCTGTGTCCAAGGCCTTGTGTGTCTGTCTGTGTCTGAGGCTCTGTCTATGTGTCTTGATGCCATGGGCGGTGTCTATATGTCCAGGCCCCCCAAGCCATGCCCATGTGTCTGATGTTCGTCCGTGTGTCTCAGGCCATGTTTGTGTGTCTGATGCATGTCCGTGTGTCTGAGGATTTGCGTGCTGTGTTCGTGAGTAAGGGCTCCTGGAGGCAGGTCTGAAGCCAGTCTTCCTGGAGAGAAGAGATGAAACAAGCAGGGGGAGAGGGAGCCAGGACCGAGGAGAGAGTCAGAGAGATGGGGGCCTTCCTCTTGTGTTGGCCGGGGACAGGTAGAGAGAGAGCCCGCACCCTGTACTAAGTCGGGCGCCCAGCCCCTGAGTTCAGCATGAGAGCGTGATCTGCAGCGTGCCCCAGCCACGTGTGCCATTTGTCGTGGTGGCACAGGTCCCTGTGTTTCTGGGTAACAAGGCAGTACCACATCTCTAGGGCATCCTGGGGAGGCCACATGAGGAGGGACCAGAAGGAGGCCTGTCAGTGCCCACGAAACAGAGCTGGGAGCCCGAGGTTGGGGCAGGCCTGGCTGGAGCAGTTGCTATGGCTACCATGTCCCCTGTGAGGCTGGAGTGGGCAGCATGTCACTCACTGTGCCCGGACCCCTGGGATCAAGCTGAATCTGTAGCCGCAGTGACCCCCTGACCTGCTTCCAAGGTGGCCTCTCCAGGCTGTGGATGGGCAGGCACACACACAGGCCTCAGTGGTGGGCGGCCCCGGAGGCCCCTCAACATATGTGTGTGTCCTGGCCAACCCAGCAGGGGTCTCTGGGAACCAGCCCTTCCTCTTCAGGGTCAAGTTTCACTGGCCCCAAGCATCCGCAAGGCCTCCTGGCCCGGGCTTCTCCAGCTGACTTGTCTCCCTCCGCCGCCTCCAGGGTCCTCCCCTCCGCCCAGGCCCAGAGGTCACGGGTGTAGTGCCTGGGTCAGTGTCGTCTGAAGGCCACTCGGGGAGGCTAATGGGGGAACCTGGGCCACACCCTCTTCTAGCTCCCAGTTCTCTTCGGACCAGAGGCACACAAGGACACGCAGGCACACAAGGACACGCACGTGGCCACCAGGCAGGCAGTGCAGTCCTTGTTTCAGCCACAGGCCGCACTCCCATCCTGGGGGCTCCTGTGGCTCAGGATGAGGGGTTTCTCCACCCCGGCCCCGCCTTGTGGAGCCCCTGCTCCCTGGGGGTGAGGGGTTTGCCCCCTGTCAAGGAGCCTCACTCTCTTGAGTACTGGATTTGGACACCCTGGGGAAGCTGGGCCCAAGGCCTACAGTCTGAGAGCCCATGTTTGCTGAACTGTGGTTGTGATGGGCTGTCTGGATGGCTCCCCTCACAGCAGCCGATGTGCTACAGAACGAAACTGCACCCGGTGCTGCGCCGCCCTGCCACGCTCTCTTACGTTTGAGCCCATCGATGCAGCCACCGTGTCCATCCATCTTGTCAGGGCCTTCCTCGTTTTCACTGCCTATCTGCTCTATCAGGAATGATGTCCTTCTGTAGGAACTGGTCGTTCCTGACAACATGCCCAAAGCATGTGAGACAAAGTCCCTCCATCATTGCCTCTAAGGAGCACCCTGCCTCTGCTTTCCCTGATGGCTCTGCTCATCCCTCGCCAGCACCACGCTTCAAATGCATCGGTTTATCTGTGGGCTTCCTTATGCAGTATTCAACTCTCACATGCACATGAGGGTTTGAAAGTGAACGGGGTTCCCCCAAAGATGTGCTAGAGCCCAGAACATGCCATGCACCCTCATGTGGACACAAGCCACCTGGAGCCAAGGAAGCCCCATCAGGAGGTTGCAGAGGGAAGAGGCCACATGGAGACTGGAGCGACGCGGCCATAAGCCCAAAGACCCACCGAGCTACCTGCAGCTGGAAGGGCAGAGGGACCCTTCCTCAGAGCCCTGCAGGGAAGGGAGCACCAGGCCACCCCCAGAGAAACTGCTAGAGAACAAGCCCCTGCGAGAGAGTCTCGGCTCTGCTTGGCCTCCCGGAGAGAACCCTCAGAGCAAGTGCGCTCACCTGTGCGGAGTCTGCGGTCAGGCTGTGAAGACGTTTCCAGCCAGGGAGCAGGTCCCTGGGGAGCAGGGGCGGAAAGTCTCTGACACATCCGTGGGGTGTGGAGCAGTAATGACGGAGCAGCGTGCAAACACCAAGTTTCTCACTGGCAGGACTTGTGGGGCTTTTTCCCCATCATGGGCTGTAGGGAAATCAGGCCCTCGGGCCCGGGGCACAGCCTGTGGGCCCTGGGAGCCAGCCTGCCACTCACGACAGCGGCTGGTAGCATCAGCCGTCCACTTGCTCTCTCGCCGTTCCAGGGGGTGAGGAGGGGCGCTGGTGGCACAGTGGGCTCCGTGCTGGGCTGCAAACCGCAAGGCCAGCAGTTCAAACCCAGTAACGGCTCCTCGGGAAAAAGATGACCTCCTTAAAGAGTTACAGCCTCAGAAATCCATGGGGCAGTTTCCCCTGTCCTATAGGGCCACCAGGAGAGGGCGTCGACTCCACAGCTGTGAGTTGGGCTGTTTGCAGGGGTGAGGAGAGCTTCTCCCAACACAGAACCTAAGTATCCCCTTGACTAAGGTGACCAGATTTTAACATTGGTAAAGCGGGACACCATTGATAAAACTCATATCCTGGCGAAATAGCCACATGGCAGCCGAAAACCGTATACCCTAGCTTGTGCTGCATTCTTTCCAAAAATC